TTGTTGTTGTTGTTATGTGCCGTCGAGTCGACCCCGACTCATAGCGACCCCTCCTTGGGTTTCCGAGGCAGTATCACTACGGAAGTAGGATTGCCCAACCTTCCTTCCGAGGAGTGGCTGGTGAATAATTATATATTCTAAGTTGCCCCAAAATAATGTCTGAGTAAAACATGTTAGTGAAGAAAACAATAAAAATGAAAATATAACAAAATAAAAATAAATGAGATTGATGTGTATTATTTAATTTCACCTGACTACTTGAATGCATTACAACCTTAGAGTTTGGAATGCTATATTTTCCCTATAAGTCTGAAAATAATTGAGCTTAAAGTTTTCTAATATTAAGAAAATGTTATCCTTCTATTATTTCAGCACTCATATTTGTTTGGATTCAGGACACTTCACGATATTTACGGCCATCTTCTTCTTGATTATGATTTTAAATGTTGTAAAATCCCATTAAGTGAAAAGAAAAGGAACAAGCTTCTGAATTTGCGAGGTGTAGATAAAAATAGGTATATTAATCTAAGTATTTGCTGTTCTTTGGTGTCAGTCAGTGGATTCAGACTCATAGTGACCCCATGGACAGAACAAAACTCCCCCCAAAGAGTTTTCTTGGCGGTAATATTCGCGGAATCTTCCGAAGAGCTGCTGGATGGGTTTGTCTGACTCACAGTGACCCTCCCCCCACAAGCCACCAGCTGGGTTTCTAAGGTTGTAAATCTTTGTGGAAGCAGATTGCCCCTTCTGTCTCCTGAGGAGTGGCTGGTGGGTTCGAACTGCCCGCCTTTTGGTTAGCAGCCAAATGCCTTAACCACTGTAGCACCAGAACTCCTCGAACTTACTAGCAGTTTCTGCTTATATTCTGCTTTGATGTAAACAAATACCTTCTGGAATCATCATGACATGAAATACCCATTGCAGGTCGATTTTTACATAAGGAATATTTGGGTTTGAAGTGCCATTTTGTTTGTTGTTTAAGAAAACTCCAGTCCAACTTATTTTTGCCACCGTGAGAACATAATAGACCACCTGCCAGCTTCACACCTGGCCATTAGTACATTCATTCTAGTGGAATTGAAGCAAACTAAATAGCATAGTGCCTAAGGCACTTGACTGCCAACCACAAGGCTGGCGGTTCAAACCCACCAGCCTCTCCTTGGAAGGAAGGTTGAGCAATCTACTTCCGTAGTGATACCGCCTTGGGAAACCCAAGGGTGGCTCGTTATGAGTCGGGTCCAAATCGATGGCACGTAACAACAACAAAAACCCATTGCCATCAAGTCATTCCAACTCACAGCAACCCATAGGACAGAGTAGAACTGCCCTCATAGAGTTTGCCAGGCTGTAAATCTTTATGGAAGCAGACTGCCTCATATTCTCCCAGGAGTAGCTGGTAAGCTCCAACCTTCGAATTTTAGGTTAGCAGACGAATGCTATAATCACTATGCCACTAGACCTCCTAGAATGGTTTTGGGGATTAAAAGGCAAAACTGGATGAAAGTCTTAGCCCCTCCCCTCCCCAGTGCAACCAAGGTACTTTAAATAAGTAAAACAAAACATATCCCGTCTTTTGTGATATCAGGAACATACCCATAATGCTAGGTTCAGCTTTGGTCTTTAAGTATCAATGGACCAAAATCTGAGCGAAGGTATTTAAGGCGGAGCGAAAACCACTAGGCGGGCTTCCGCAGAGAGGACACCTATCTGTTTGGAATTTTGAATATAAAGTTCTTTAAAGGACATGTTTTATACCCTGGGAGTAATCGCTTTCCCTTCAGGTGTGTGTGTTCGTTGGAGGTCTAACACGATTGCTGGTTACTTGCACACAGTTTTTCAGAGTCAAACAAGATTCTAGCAGATTTCAGGGGCGGGTTCACCATTGAGAGTTACTAGTGAAAATTCCAATCCTAGATCCGTCCGCTGAGGCGGTAGCCGCAGTGCGGCCAACCAGCCTTGAGCTCCGGCTGCGGAACAGCAGGGCCCTAGAGCGCGGCGTAGCCGCAGCTGCCTGAGTGGCGCGGCCGTCCCAGCAGAGCTGAGTTTGGCTGGGAGCAGCAGGATGCGTGCGGTGAGTGACCCCCAGAGGGCCAGGTGACTGTAAAGCCCCGGTCTCGTCTCTGTCGTTGTCGGAGGGACTAGATGCGCGGGTCCTTCAGGTCTAGGCCTCACATCTCGCCCAGGAATTAGGCTCGTGGTACAGCCCGCGGCCGCCACGGGAAGAGTCCTTGCGGGTCCTTTAAGTGCTTCAACGTTTGGAGTTTAATGACAGCTTTCAGTGAGACAAGGTAGAATAAAAACCTTTGGCCCCTCACTAGTAAGGCACAAGGGCGAAGAAACTGTTTGGAGCCAGTGAAATATTTCAAGTTACTCCGGATGTTATCCTACTTCTCTTTCCCCTTTGTTGTACTAAGGAAAAAAAAAAAAAAAAGCAACAAGGTCAACACACGTTCCCCACCTCTGTGCTCTAGTCGTCGTTGTTTTTGTTAGTTGCCAGGGAGTGGATTCCGATTCATGAGGACCCAGGTGTGCATACTGGACCTGCTCCATAGTGTTTTCAATGCTGTGAGCTTCCGCGATGCCTCTGAATGGGTTCCAACCTCCAACCTCCAACTTTTTGGCTATTCAAGACCTTAATCGTTTGTGCCACCCAGGGGCTCGGTGGTCCAAAATGCTGGGATTTCCTCTCCAGTGTTGCAAATTAACGCTTAAAGTGCCATACTGCGGGGGGGGGGGGGGTCTGTTTACTTCAGCCATGTTGTTGTTGTTGTTATTTGCCATCGAGTCGGCCCCGACTCATAGCGACCCCTCCTTGGGTTTCCGAGGCAGTATCACTACGGAAGTAGGATTGCCCAACCTTCCTTCCGAGGAGTGGCTGGTGGGTTTGAACCGCCAGCCTTCTGGTTAGCAGTCAAGTGCCTCAGGCACTATGCTACCAGAGCTCAGCCATAGCTCCTACTTTTCTTTAATCATTAAACTGAATACTTTGTTAGTGAGAAAGAAAAAAATTTGTATTTGGTTCTTTAAATTCACCCTAATTTTCATATTTATAAAATATAACACAATAAGATTTTAAATTAATGGACATTTAAGGATTTTTATCAAATTCATATAGAACTGTTAGTCCAAACTAGATTTTAAAAAAATTACGAGAGATTAAAATAAAAAGAAGTTTGTAGATTATATTTTTCAATTAGTTGCTGGGATGAAGTGAGCAGGTAAGATGCTGTTTTTTACTGTGGCATCATGTATTATGAAAACCGAGATGGTAGACTCTTTGGACACTTGTGGTACTTGTAGATTTTGTTGATCTTTGGTCTTTTAAATTTAAGTATAGGACCCTTAGAGTAATATTTAAGATTTATATAAGTCACATAAAGCTTAAATTCTTGACTGGGCTTGAAAGACTTCTTATTTAACTTTATTTTTACAAGTGTTCATTCTGAAAATGGATTATTAGTTCAAAACTTTCTTTTTCTATTTTTAGTCATCACCATAGAGTTTACATTTGTTTATTTTATATAACAATTTATTCAAATGGTGTTTGTGTCTTGTGGTAGTTTGCATAGCATTTGTCACTGATACTGTTGAAGAAGCTTGGATAAAATTAAGAAATAGCAGTACCTACACTTGTACATGTAATCAATGACATGAGCAAACAAAAAGTCAGTGTTCATGGGGAAAGAAAAAACCCTTTATTTCCTTTGTCTTATTTTTAAATTGGAAATGCATTTTTAATAAAAATGTTTAAAATGACTTTTTCATTGTATACAGAAAAAAGGTTCTTTGCCGTCTGCTAAGAAAAATACGAATAGGACAGCTCAGGATGGTTTCTGGGTAATCAACTTTATTTTGTGTTTTTGTGTGTATCTGTGTGTGTTTTATTTGTGTGTTTTTTTTAAATTATGCTTTGAGTAAAAGTTTACACAGCAAACTGGTTTTCTATTCAACAATCCAGATACATTGTTTTGTGACATTTACTGCATTGCCCACAATACAGCAGCATTCTTCCCCATCCTCTCTGCTCACAGCTGTGTGTATGTTCTTTACAAAGGATATTTTAACTTTAAAAAAAAAAAAGTATCTTGGATTTACTAACAGGAGCTCTGGTGACATAGTGCCTAAGGCATTTGATTGCTAGGCATTTGATTGCTAATCAGAAGGCTGGCTGTTCAAACCCACCAGCCACTCCTTGAAGGACTACTGGGCAATCTACTTCCATAGAGATACTACTTTTTTTTTTTTAATTTACTAATAACATTTTTCTTTGTATACCTAATACATTAAACAGCAAAAACTATGTCTGTGACCACCATCACCACCACATTTAAATTCTTTTGTAGTGGATAAGGCATTTGGCTGCTAACCAGAAGGTCAGTGGTTCAAACCGGACCTGCTGCTGTGAGGAAGGAAGATGGGGCAATCTAATTCTGTAAAAATTTACAGCCCCCGAAACTCAGTGGGGGGTCACTGTGAGTCAGAATTGACTTGATGGCAGTTAGTCTCACTTTTGGTCTCCTTAGTTCAACTTGTACCTCCTTAGTTCAACTTGTAACATTGATCTCAATTCTTTGTTCCCCTGGGTGACTAGCACACAGTTGTTCCTCCAGTTAAAGCTGGAAGAAATCTTTGTTGCTTCTCCTACATCCAATTTCTTGTCCATTTCAACTTCAACTATCTTACCAACAACTATCTTAGTCTAAACTGTATTGTGCCAGGCATTATTCTAGGTGTAGGTAGATGTTATGTGCCATCGAGTCAGACCCGACTCATAGCGACCCCTCTTTGGGTTTCCGAGGCAGTATAACTATGGAAGTAGGTTGCCCAACCTTCCTTCTGAGGAGTGGCTGGTGGGTTTGAACCACTAGCCTTCTGGTTAGCAGTCAAGTGTCTTAGGCACTATGCTACCAGAGCTCCTGGGTGTAGGTAGATAGTACTGAATAAAACAACATTCCTGCTCTCAAAGAGTTCACAGCCTAATAGAGTGAGACAAAGAGACGGGTTAAGAAAGTAAAGTAGTAGGAAAAGACAAAAAACCAGGGTATTGTGATGGAGATTATTTGAGGGGGAGGTGACCGGTAGGCATTCAGCCTACTTTAGATAAAGTGGTTCTTAAGCTGAGGTCTGAAAGATGAGGAGAAGCCAAGCCCTGGGGAAAATGGTAGGGGAAGCGGGCTAACATAGAAAATCCATTGCAAAAGCGTTGAGGCAAGGAAGAGCTTGGCTTGTTCTAGGGTCCTTAGCAGGGAAGTCAGGCTGAAGTACTTGCCAGAGATCAGGTAAATGCAGAGTCCAGCAGACCACGGCAAAGAGTTTAGATTTACTCTGGGGGCAAAAGGAAGCCCTGACAGAGTTTGCATCAGGTGTGAAGCATGAATTTCTGTCGGTTAATCTGGGTAAGAATCCCAGCTGAGTGATCTCTTGTGAGCCCTTAACCTTTCCCAGTTTTACTGTTATTATCTGCATGTAAAGAATCAAGAGCAGGTCATGGTGAGGATTGAATGAGAACCTTTGTAAAAAGCTCCCTGTGTGGGAGCTTAAAGAAGATCTGCTTTAAATGGAATAATTTCAAATGTTGTTTCTCCATTTAAATCAGTACTAAAAACAAGTAGAATGACTCCGTGTTAACGTGTGTCGTATGTTGTAATTTGGCTTATAGAATTGGACCAAATTTTTATTTAATATTAAAAAAGTCGTATCTTTTCTAATACAGGCATTTAGAGATGTGTCCCTCAGTCAGCTGTATATACTTAGAAATATGTCTAGGCGTACTTTAGGCAGAAGAGATTAAAATGTCATTCATTATGATCTAATTTACCTATTATCAATATATCTGTAATTATTGGTTTTGGATTCATTTTCTTCCATTATGATCATTTATGTCAGTGAGTGATATGATAATCTGTTGGATTTTTTTTTTTTTTTTTTTTAGTGCTTTAGAATTTCTAAGGTTGCTGAATATAAATAGTGGTGATATGTATAATTAAAATGTTTAGTTTTTCTTAAGTCAGGGCCTCTCAAACTTTAGCTTGCATCAGAATCACCTGGAAGATCCAACTCCCTAGAGTTTCTAATTTCTAACAAGTTCCCAGGTGAAGCTGATGTTGCTTGTGCTTCGAAACCAAAAAAGCCATTGGATTTTGACTCATAACGATCCTACAGGACAGAGAGAACTGTATCATAGGGTTTTCAAGGCAGCCTCATCTTTCTCCCTCTGAGCCACTGGTGGGATTAAACCACTGACCTTTTGGTTAGTAGCTGAGCACTTAACCCCTACACCACCTGGGCTCCTGCTGGTGGTCCAAGAACCACAGTTTGAGAACTACTGTCTTAAGCCAATAGAAACCACCATCATTTAACAAATGATTTTTTACAGTTTAAGACATAGCACTCTATTCTATATTTGCCCTATATAATTTCCACATAGAATTATTATTGATAATGATAATTAGTCAGAAATATTGCTATGAAATAAACGTTCTTGGGGAAAAAAGGTAACTTGCAAACTATCAACTTTTCAGCTTCAATCACTCATTACTGATGTAGCCGTTAGTAGAAGATATCAGAAAATAAGAGAATATTTTCAACAGGAAGAGAGTCATGTTCCTCAAAAATATAATCATCTTTTATTACGCCAGCTTGACAAATCAATAAACAAGGCAAGTACATTTTTTGTTTGACATGACTAGAAGACCAACATGTAACCATTTGTAAGGGTTTAATTTAGTGTGGTCTAATACCTAGGAACTGGATAACAATGAATTTCAGTATGTTTCATTGTTGCTGAAATGCATCCAGCGATTCTTCCTAGATGGCCTCAAAGAAGAGTCTTTGCTAATTCAGCAGGGACTGATCTCAAAGATAAGTGCCACATTTTAATTTTGTATGGTTTTGGGTAATTTAAATAACTAAAGTGGGTTCAGTTGTCTAGTTAAATTTGGTCATCTTTTCCTTTCAAAATTAGAAATTGGTACTGATGCTTCTTGCCTAGATCCAGTCTAAAATTAGGTTCAACACGTTTCCTGCTGTATGTGCTGGGCAGGACATTTTGAGTAAGACACAGCTCCTTCCTTAAAAGGCCCGTACTGGTACTGTATGTGCAATATTGTTTTTTTTCCTTTTTTTCCAGGAGTGAGCAGTCTAAACATGGCCTTTGATGTATTGAATAAATATGTTCTAGGATGGTTTATAGAAGTTTATTCTAAATCATACCCAGTTGTAGCAACTTAGTATGAGTTGGGTATATATTCTTAAGAGAAAAACAAAATCTCCATTTAGCTGGAAACTTTTGGCAATAAAAAAAGGTAGTAAAGCCTGAGACATATTTACTATAACCAATTATCCTTTTATAGTTTATTTTCTGCTGCTTCCCAGATCACAAGACCTTCTCCATTGGAGAGGCTCATGAATTTCTTCAACTTTATCTCTCACCACCGCCAGTTGCCATTAAGTCAGTTCCAACTCATGGCAAACCCATGTGTGTCAGAGTAGAACTATGCTCCATAGGGTTTTCCATGGCACATTTGGCAGTGGACTGCCAGGCCTTTCTTCCAAGGTGCCTCAGGCCATTTGAATCACTGATGTACTCCAAAAATTACCTGCTAACCCCTTGTATAGACTTTTGCCAAATTGGTCCTGGTGCAATCTCCCAATTCTTGCTAGCATCTGAGAACTTATTTCAACTTGTACCAATATGATTCCATCTTGAAGTGCTCTAAGATGGAGGCCTCAGAGCCTGGTCTGGTTGAAATGGTATGGAAGGGAAAAAGGATATTTGTAATTATTATGCTTTAGTGACTGTTATCTTATATGTGTTGTGATATACATGTTACCAATAATAACATTCTACTGAATAGTTATTCAGTCACATGTAGTTCCATCTCTGTTTCTTCTCCTGTTTACATGGTTTCCTGGCTTCAAAGAACAATAGGATTTCTAACTGAGGAGGACTTAGCCTCAGACACATCCCTGATTACTGTCACACAAGACTTCTTTGAAACAGCATTGGTAAGGATGGGAGGGGATATTTCACTAAGTAGACACCATTAGTAATTTTCAGGAATCTCTAAGTTATTTCTAAAACTTGGTTTCTTTGCTAAAAGACTCCCACATTTTATTGTTAGAACATTATGTGAAATGTAAACAAAGGTTAATTATGTATGTAGATAGAGAAATAGGTTGTTGTTGTTGTTGTTTGCCATTGAGTCGGCCCTGACTCATAGCGACCCCTCCTTGGGTTTCCCAAGGCAGTATCACTATGGAAGTAGGATTGCCCAACCTTCCTTCCAAGGAGTGGCTGGTGGATTTGAACCGCCAGCCTTCTGGTGAGCAGTCAAGTGC